AGGAGGAGGAGGAGGAGGAGGAGGAGGAGGAGGAGGAGGACGACGACGACAAAACGAAATTTGCTTTCTCAGCTAAACATGTCATAATAATAGTTCTTTAGTAGGAGAAAAATTACATGTAATAATGAAAAAGAATAGTGCCTTTATGTCCAGGTTTCTTTACTTCTGGGATACGTATGATTTTGTCCATGCCATAAAAGGGAGTTCTTTTATGTAAAAGACAAAAAGATCCATTCTGTATAATTTATCAGAAATTATAAATCTATAATTTCTATATCAGGATCCATAACATGATCTATGTAATTTTTGATAAGTTTATCATTAAGTATAATAGTAATGTTACCTTTTAAAAACATTGAATTTATACAGAGAAGTTGTGTTCATTTAGAATTACTTTGTTTCAAAATCTACTTGAATTTATGAATGGAGTAAAAAGAAATCAACCAGCCATTCTAATAAACTACTGTATGGGTTACAGAATATACATTTTTTCTTATTACTTTAAACCTTAATTCTAAAGTAGCAGCAGTTTGGTAGTATCGTGTCATAATAGGATTGAAAACTTTGTCCTAATATATTATATACTTTCAATCTTAAATAGTTGATCTTCAGCTACCATTAATTTTAATAAGTGATAGAAATAATCAGAATCTCACAGGACCATCTTTTACTACCTATATTGAAATAGAAAGAATGTATAGGGTAGCAAAGGCATTGATTTATTCTTCACAAATTGTGATATTTGACTTCATGCATGACTATTTCTTTAATGAAGGTGACATCAGTGAAATAAATAATGGTGCAAATCATCTTGAATTTCCAAGTTATTACTATGTATTTTTCCTATCTGTATCTTTTGATTCATAGCAAAATTGTCAAGAAAATTCTATATGTAAAAGATGGACAAAGCAGAGTGTTCTACATTTTTAAAAATACTAAAAAGCAAATCTGATATTTATGTTATGTTATGGTAGAAATCCAGTTAAAAGTATTTTTAAAAATATCCTTACGTTTGATCACACCGTTGTGTTCAATATTTAGTTCTGCTATGTATATTATTCCATGGAATGTTCATATTAAATGCAAACTAGAATATGAAAATCTGTAAACATTGGCAAAGAACTTCAGCTAAATTTAGATGGATGATTTGCAGTATCTGTTGTTTGTTCAGTTCTTTTTAGAGCAATCTGACCTTATTTATTTCCTTCTCTGTCTAGGTTTGCAAGGCATACCAGGGGACTACATATCTCAGGGTGGTCCTATGGGTATGAGTATGACACAATCAAGTTACACTCCTTCCCAGATGACCCCTCACCCTACTCAATTAGAACATGGACCCCAATCCATTCATATTTGCCAAGTCACTCCATCACCCAGCCATGATGATGCATGGAGGATCCCTTACCCATCCTGGAATGACCATTTCAGCACAGAGCCCCACCATGTTAAATTCTATAGAACCCAATGTCGGTGGACAGCTTATGGACATTCATGCCCAGATAGTATAAAGGAACTCAAGGAAAAAAAAATATTTTAAAACTTGTGAACTTTGACCAGATGTTGACACTTCATACGCAATTCCAGACAGCTGTGATTATTTTTTACTTTTATCATTTTTCATTAACAACAGAGGACCAATGGAAACAAGAACGGAAACATGAAATCATGGGCACACTGAAAAGAATTTATGCCCATGTAAAGATCCTCTGGGAAAAAAAAGACTCCAAGAGTTATAACTACTGTAGTATATAAACATAGGAACTAAGTTAACTTGTATATTTCTGTTGATCACTCCGTTATGTTGCCTCAGATAGTTTTAGAAGGAAAAAAATATCCTTGTTTTCCACACTATGTGTGTTGTTCCCAAAAGAATGACTGTTTCGGTTCAGCAGTGAAGTCGCTATCCCTGAAAGAAAACAATATATTTCAGACCTCTTTGGCCAGTGAGAAAAGAACTAACCTGGAGATGAAGACAGAATCTTGCTGGATCTTCCATCATTCAGAAGACAGTTCCATAAAGGCCTTGCCACCCCCTGGTTCTGTTCCTTCATAAATGTGTCCTTTAGTTTCAAACAGATCTTTATAGTTTGTGCTTCGTAAGCCCAAGATATTTTTGGACTCTTTTTTTCAAAGAGCCTGCTAATGAAGATTTAAAAAACAGAGCAGGAGCTTCTTTTAGTAATTCTGAGTCTTGGCTTTGGACAAGATAAATCTGAAGGTTGGGCAGCTTTCCTTAAGAAAAAAGATATTAATGGTCTTTGCACCAAACCTAGAACTCTATGATGAACTCCGAGCTTGAGAAAAAGCAAGAGAATACTGTAACAAACTTCGTACAGAGTTCAGTCTATTAATTGTTTCATGTTAGATATTCTATGTGTTTACCTCAACTGAAAAAAAAAGAATGTTTTTGCTAGTATCAGATCTGCTGTGGAATTGGTATTGTATGTCCATGAATTCTTCCTTTCTCAGCACGTGTTCCTCACTAGAAAAAAAAATGCTGTTACCTTTAAGCTTTGTCAAAATTTACATTAAAATACTTGTATGAGGACTGTGACGTTATGTTTTAAAAAAAAGTGTTAAGTCACAAAATGCGGTAATAAATATTTCATTTTTTGATTTTTTGTTAGACATTTGTGTTTTTAATGATTAGAACAATGTATTTTCTAGCGATAGCAAGAGCTATTATCTTGCATTTGTTGCATATAATAACTAAAATAAAACTTACCTAAATTTATAGGGCTTTATAATAGCAAATGAGGTTATAAATCCTTTAATGTGGTATAATATTATTAGAATTATGCATAACCTTTATATCTAGAACTAAACCATATATGTGTTTCCATATGTGTGATAAAAGGAAGTACATGAATAGTGGGGTTTTTTTTTCCAGGTTTTATTTCTGGCCTTAGCCTTAGTTGAACAAACCCATAACTGACTGTAATACAAAGCTTACAGACTATCATGTAGGATGAAATTATTAATGTTAGATCGTGAATGGATTTAATGGCTGATATAATTAATCATTGGAACAACTTACCTCCAGAAGCTGTGGGTGCTCCAACACGGGAAGTTTTTAAGAAGAGACTGAACAACCATTTGTCTAAAATGGTATATAGGGTTTCCTGCCTAAGCAAGGGATTGGACTAGAAGACCTCAACTCTGTCATTCTATTCTATTCTATTCTGTTCTGTTCTGTTCTGTTCTATTCTATTCCAAGTTCCAAACCATTTTATTTATGTAAATATATAACAATGATATCAAAAATAATCCTCTTTAAATGAGTAAGAATGGACAGTGGTTATCACTCATAATTATTAGGACTGTAAAAACATTTCAAAAGAATTGTTACATAATTCTACATGTTGCAAAGCACTTTTCTAGGATTTGCACAGCTCTAATAATTAGTCTGCAATTCTATGTATGTTTATACAGAAGTATTCTGTGTATCTTTCTTTTGAATATGTGTGCATAGCAATGCAGGCATAGGTATCTAAAATAAATTTTAGAGAACCCAAATACAAATTACATTATATACTATATAAAGTAGGATACAACAAATACTATCAGGTGGTTGCATTTCAGCTTATTAAGGTAAGATATGATTGAACCTTTTGTTTTCCTTTACAGGATACAGAAATCAAAATAGGAAGTCTCTAATTAACGTGGTTTATGTTTTGTCCACATTAAGAAATAATGGTTCCTGGTTTTAGAATTACCACACTAAATTATTAATGTTACTTTTAAAGTAATGTAACACAGATAACAGTAGTTTTTCATAGGGACAATATGGAAAACTCTCCTGGCCTAAAAAAAAATAGGCTGTATTCATGGCAGAAAAATTGATACGTTGGCTTTTTAAAAATGAGACCTAACAGTCAGAAGAAGAATAAACAGGTCTTGGTTTGTACTCATGCACATAGGGCCATGTAGCCTGCTCTCACATTGTTACTTTTTAACATGACATGATTTATTGAGACTAAGACTACAGTAAGTTTATAAGAACTGAGTGATACTGAATTCCACGAGTGTTATGGAATTCAGTGAGCTGGAAACAAAACAGTCACATGGATCTGGAGGAGAGGAACAATCCAGCTTTCTACCCATTACTCCATGTTTAGAGTATGCATGCCATTTAGGTGCCTGGTAGAAGGGCTTCATAATACAACCTCTTTTCATTGTAGGTAGATTTGCTGCAGAAAGGAATTTTTGCTGGAGTATATCTAATGTCATGAAACAGAAAGACGACAATTCAGTTAATAGGAAAAGTGTTACAGATAAAGAGTTCAATGATGGCCCAGAATATTTGCAAAAGTATCAGCCAGTTGCCCCACATCTCATAAGGAAGTGAAGCAATGTGCTTCAAGTGGTATGGCACAGGCAACAGGCATACAGTACATGAACTGCTTCTTTGGGAAGTTTTTGTGCCACCAAGAAATGGGGCACCATTTGTGTTCTGCTGCACATGGGCATTTTTTCTTAACTTGATTGGTAAAGATTTTAATTTGATTCTTTAACATATTAAAACAATTGCAAAACAACCTTTTGGTCTTAAAGTGCTGTACAACTGAAAAGGAATATTAAATCTTACTCAGATGAGGCAGTTCATCTATACTTGAACAAAAAACAAATTCTATATTAGATGTTAAATTTAACTTTCATTTAAACCTTTATGAATCTCAGTTCTGTTATTCAGTTCTTACATTCTTAGAAATATAAACTAAGCATTAAATTATTAGAACAATACCAAAACATTTTTCTTTTCTTTCTTTTAAATGAAACTGAAACCAAATGGTCGTATTTTAAATCAGATGTTGTGAGTGTTTTCTGACCTTGGCAAAATACAGGGTTTTCAGTGAAGATATTAAATTTTCCCAGCAAACGTACCTTTTTTAATTTTTGTAATGAACTAAAATCTTTTTATTCCTACAGCGTCTTTTCTCTCCATAGGTTCTAATCTGCATGAGCTATGTTGCTAGAATCTGAGCTGCACTATAATGTGAAAAGATTGTGCCATCTGAGGTTTACTATTTAGCATGGAGAGTTCTGATTTGGGTATATTTAAGAAATGTTCAGCTGTCAAAAGTGAAAGAAAATGGGAATAGTGTTTTGACAGCGGCACAGTGTTAAAGGAAATACTTTAGTCTAACTAAAATTGCTTACGTTCTGGGAAACGAAAGGTAATAGAAAATAGAAAACACCTCTTGTTTATTGGGGGGATATCTAATTTTCCATTTCCTTGAACAAACCAAGAAGACTCTGTAATCCTAGAAAATAAGAAATGTTTGAAACTGATCCATTCTTTGTTATGGAAGATGGAAGGAATCTTGACAAGGAAAACAGGAGTTTTAACTTCTAGCTGTTTTTGGTAGACTTCTAATGTAAAAGGGAGAAATGAAATTGGTTCGGGAACACATTTTTCTTCCTAGGCAAAATTATATATTCAGTTCATGTACAAAGCAAAATGTCTATGCAGTGAATGATGCAGTGTCATCTAAAAGTTTCACCAAATAAATATTTTAAAATTTAACATTATTTCTCTGCAGGCCCCAAATTCTCCCTTCAGACCTGATGCCAGGCTGCAATGCAATTTACGTCTAAGTAGGTATGTTTGAAATAGGTCTGTAAGGTTGCAATTTCCATATATTGCTAAAGAGAGCAAATACTCTGAACTTAGAAGGCCCCCCAAAATTGTATAGGATGTACAGGAAGGGGCTACTCTAAACCCCTAGAAGCTTTTGTGCCATGTGTGAGCACTGCTAAAAACACAAATCACAACATAATTCACATATAGCATCATATGTGGTGCGTATACAAATAAATAGTAATGAATAAATAAGTCTAAAGGCCATTAAGGGGATGGCAAGAAGAGAAAAAACCAGGACAGAAAGATCACAGTGCTTCTGAGAAATGGCAGGATACATTATTTGGTGTGTCCCTCCCCCCCTTTTGCTAAATGGGGAAAATCCAGTAGATCCAAAAAGAAGGATTTTTCAAGCTTCCTCTTTTGTTAGGAAGACAGCCCTGGCCTTTCTTTACCTCTGTATTAGTGTAGGACTAGGATCTAGGAAGCTCTAATTCCTCATACAAATTGTGGCTTTTTAAAGAGTTGCTAGTCTTTGCTTCTCCTCTACCCCACTGCCTTCTTCTTCTTCTGCATGTTCACTCCAAAGTAAACCTTGTCAAATTAAGTGGGTATCATTCTCAAGGCAGGAGAGTTATTAGAGTTGTAACCTGAGAAACAGACACAATTGAAGGGGGGGGGAGGAGGAGAATGGGGGGGGGAGGCTTTGAGAGGAGTTTCTGGCCAAGTTAAGTAGGGGGGAGAAAAAAAAAAAAACCCCACAGAGAGAATAAGAGGGGACTGGGTGGAGATGTTATAAAGCAGATTTTCATATTAATAGTTTAGGAGAAGTGAGGCAGAAGGGAGGTTGGTCTTC